ATCCGAGGCTCGACCATTTTGTTCGCGCTCGCTATCGCCATCGTGATTCCCGTCATCGCTTCTGTTAAGAAGTGGCGATGTTTCGGTAGGCTCCTCTTCCTCGCGCGTTGGGGAGGTAAGAGGCTCGTTCTCCTCGGCCGACATTGTGGTCGTATCGGATGAAGTGGAAACCCGTCTAACAGAGATTCGGGGCGCTCATGCGGCGCAAGTGGCTTGGGGCAGGCTGTAGTAATGTATCTGTAGTTCAAAGAGGGAGGTTGATGATGTGTTGGATGTTGGGGATGATGTTGATGTCAGAAGGAATCATCAAGTTGAGGTTAGGTAGGGATTCGTCATCGAGGTGAAGTCACTTTGGCAGGGTTTATGAGTGATAAGGTTGTAGCGGGCGGTGATGTGATTGGCTTGGTTATGTCTGATCCAGGAACAGAACCACAAGGCACCTCAGGCCCCAGCTTTTCGATCCTGAAACTCCATTCCATGGGGGGGTTTTGGAATTTGGTCTCGCACGCGACGTCATTTTTTAATTGAACAAATTTTTATTAATAGATCAAAGTTGAGGGTCCATTTCCATTTTAATTTCGATTTCCAAGCTAAGAGATCTTTGACAATCAATATGTAGTGATCCCAACATGGAGATGTCTTTATACCTACTTATCTAGGTAGGTAACCCATAAATGGTACCTAAATAATAATGCCACTAGGCGATATTGCAGCAGAATCTTAACCACGATAGCAAATGAGCAGACATATCATCAGAACACACCTTCACGAATATGTGCACTCTAGACCTTTCAACGCCGCCTAGGCGTATCTGGAGGAGACTTGGGAGGGACAGCTATCTTATGGCATAACAATATCTCCTCGAGCTCGTCGGCTTGCTTCCGATACCAGGGATCTAGGGACATATATCACGCGGCTGAGAGCTCTCATCGCCTCTGCTCAGGGTAAGACAGAAAGCAGCTCACGTTTGGAATCTAAAACGGAACAAGCAGACCAGATATGTCACTCATGCTTATCGCAGCTTCCCAAGGCTTACAAATGGGAGAAGCTGTTGAGCAATGAAAACACTCCAATTATGATTCTCTACACCCTTATTACCTACTTATTTCCATCTCGAGATCTTGGCGTAAATTGACGAGCTCAGTCGGCCAACAGGATCATGGCTATTGAAAATTCAACCGCCGGTAACGGGCGTTTGACCAAAGGGCTCACTCACCGTCATGTAAGTGGAGTTTGACAACAACGGCGACACATTGGGTTCACAACTATCCAATACGTTTGTATGTATACACGATCGATATAAATCGCAACCAGATCCAATCATGTATAATAGGGTCGTCTAAGTGATAGATATCCTAGGACTACTTAAGTATCCCATCAATTAGAGTCAGCGTCCCGAGACCGGCTTAACATCACATTAAAGTGGAGCATATACTCTTTGGCCTGGAGGAAGAGAAAGCGGGACATGGCCCTCCAATGGTGACTCTTCCTACCACACAGACTCATCATATCTTGACCTACTTAAGCCATTGGCTTAAAGAAAAGTTCACTTTCTTCCTTCGATCTGACGTTCAGCTCAATTCTAGGCTTCAGAGCTCATTTTCTCATTTATACAATTACTCATTAACTCACTCAACTCAACACACAGCTTAAAATGAAGACTTCAGCTTTCCGAATCGCTCGAGAGGCCGCTGCAGGCCTTCAGAAACGAGCGTACTCACAGGCTGCAACACCTAGGCATCTCATGACAATTGCTGATCTTACTCCCAATGAGTTTGCCAACCTTGTCCGTGATGCCAACACTCGAAAAATAGCCGTCAAGGGCGGAGCTCCCGCGAGCTATCTCAATGCTGGTCTTGCTGGTAAGACTGTTGCTATGATGTTCAGCAAGCGCAGTACCCGTACTCGAGTTTCCACTGAAGCTGCTGTGACTATGCTTGGTGGAAATCCCATGTTTCTCGGGAAGGATGATATTCAGCTTGGTGTAAGTTGCACTTACATGATGAAGACCTACCTGTACTAATGCCTGCCAAGGTTAATGAGTCGCTATACGACACTTCGGTTGTCATTTCTTCCATGACCTCCTGTATGGTCGCTCGAGTTGGACCTCATTCTGATGTCGCTAATCTCGCAAAGCACTCAAGTGTCCCTGTCATCAACGCTCTGTCCGATGACTTCCATCCTCTGCAGACGATTGCTGACTTCCTCACTCTCCATGAAACCTTCCCATCAGCAAGCGCCAAGGGAGCTACACTGGGCCTCAATGGCCTCAAGGTCGCCTGGGTCGGCGATGCCAACAATGTTCTGTTCGATCTTGCCATCGGTTGTGTCAAGATGGGTGTTGACATATCCGTTGCCGCCCCTGAGGGATATGAGATTCCTGACAACATGAGGCAACTCATCAGCTCCGCTGCTGACGGCGTGTCCTCACCCGGCAAGCTTTTTGAGACTAACGTCCCTGAAGAGGCTGTTAAGGATGCCAATGTCCTGGTGACTGATACATGGGTTTCCATGGGCCAGGAGGCTGATACCCAGAAGCGCCTCAAGGACTTTGCTGGTTTCCAGATTACGAACGACCTTGCAAAGCGAGGAGGTGCAAAGTCGGAGTGGAAGTTTATGCACTGCCTCCCTCGACACCCCGAGGAGGTCGCCGATGAGGTCTTCTACAGCCCCCGCTCTCTGGTATTTCCCGAGGCCGAGAACCGTCTCTGGGCCGCTGTTTGTAAGTCTTTACGGTATTTCTTTAGAAGCATGACACTAACGTCGACAGCTGCCTTGGAAGGCTTTGTCGTCAACAAGGGCAAGTTCTAAAGTATGGTGAGAAGACGGAATACGAATGGATACGATATCATTTACTACCTGACCACACTTGACGGGAGGTGGAGCACTGGCGCACGAACGATAAAAATAGTCTTGGGAATTAAATCAATTAAATCAGATCCTTTCCTTGAAAACGCCATTCGGCCGGGTCACTAAATTGAGGTATCTATATGATTTTAACCTGGAGGGAGCTGACTGGCATCGACAACCTCGTCTGCCTCCATGACAAGGGACTCCTGGTTACCTTCAGACAGAGGAGATCGGGGTAGAGCCATCAGACCTGTACGGGCAGACTCAAGAATGCCAAAGGGAGCAACAAGCTTGAGGAACGAGTCGATACGTGACTGCTTAGCAGAACTGGAACCCCGTATTAGTATTGCGCATGGTTGAGTAGATAAGAGGGAGACGGTGGGCAACATACACTTCAACAATGCAGCTGTTGGTGCTGATATCTAGGACCTTGCCGCCAAACTGATGGGCGAAGTAAGTGATCGACTTAAGATGCTCGTGCTTGTGTCGCAGAGCCTGACTGACGGCCAACTTGCTGGGGTGGAAGTCCTTGGCGGTATCGGAGAGGCTACGTTCAATGGCCTCATGCGCGTAATCGACATCAGTCTCTCCAGCAGCAATCTCGCGGTGGTGGTGGAGGAGCTCCTCGAAGTACTCGGGGCCAAGGATGTTGATCTTGGCAAGGAGAAGCTCGCGCTGGACAAGAGCTGCGTTGGTATAGTCAAGGACGGCCCAGACAGGGACAAGATCCTCAAGCTGTCGGCGAGCCTGCTCAACAACGCCGTCTTGACCAGTGAGGACAATGGTCATGCGAGAAAGGTCGTCAACCTCAGTGTTGCACACGACCAGAGAGTCAATGTTGAACCCGCGAGCTGCCAAAATTCCGGAAACGCGGGACAGAACACCAGGCTCGTTCTGGACCAGACAGTTGAGGATATGGCGCTTGGGAGGAGCGGTTGAAGGGACTGGGGTCTCGTAAAGAATGTTGGAGACGGCGGCCTGGGCGGACCACGCAGGAGGATTGTCGCTCACGGGAAGGGGAGCAGAGCGACGGCGGAGGGCCTTGTAGGCGATGGCGGAGGTTGAGGAGGAGCTATATCGCACAGCGGCGACGCCTCTCGCAGAGGCGACCCAGCGAAGGGACGAAGTCAAGGGCCGTAGAGAAGCCATCTTGCGGAGACAGGAGAACAGGAACAGTTCTCTGGTCAGAACAAGAAGGGTCCCAACACGGTAGAAATAGCAATTGGGCCGGGCGGAGGATGGGATGAAGGTGACTCAAAGTCAGGAAGAGATAGGTCGAGGGAAATGCCGAAAAAATCAATGGGCCATCGATAGGCCGGTGACCGGAGGCCACAGAGATACGGGGGCCAGGGCGGGCAGGTGTTTGCACAGGAGCACGGATCAGCTCGGCAAGGGTACGCTGTAAGCTCCGAGTCTAGGTTAAGGTATCTATCAAGAGGTATGGAAATAGGGTTGTTTTCGAGCTTGCATACGATTTGCAACGGCTTACATGTATGAATGAACCATTGAGCCCGAGGCGATCATAAAGATTGGATTGTTCTTATAGGCAGGCTACAACTTGATGCAATGCAGTAATTGACCCCAGTTCATGCCCATGACATTCCCCAGGTTCGTTGTAAATCATGCAGGGCTCAAAGCCACAGTACTAAACTCCCGTCCAATGAAAAAGCACTTGTTAATCACTTGGAAAGAAATCTACTAGAGGAATCGAAATGCCAGAGCTTTACAAAACAAATTAATCTGAAAAACCGAGCAGCGCTCATGACATAACCAGGCACTTCTATGGAGTATACTCCTTTGCATTGCGCACTCGTCTACGCTTTTACCCATTGCTATCTACCTACCCATTGCCCCAAGCTCTCCCCCACATTCTCACCGCCGGTGTCGGGTAGCTCACCAGCCACATGTGGCGGAAGGCTGAACGATATACAATCAGCCTTTTCAGGTTCCTGCTGTTCCGTAAACCATCAAACATCAACTCCACTTCAACACAAGCGCATTTCGGCTGCTATTTTTCACACCGGATTTGCACTGATACATGGGTGCATATAGACCGTTATCGACAACTCGGTATCTTTCTGTACTTCCACGTGGCGTAGCTCCGACCTACATCCCCCAATTTTTATTTCAATATTTGCAACTCGCCGAGTATGGATGAAACAGAACGACGAACGGTGAAGCGTTCGCGCTTCGACCAGACAGAGCCGGAACCCAAGAGGACATCGCGGTTCGACCGTCGCTCGCGATCTCCCCCGTCGCGCCGCTCTGAGCCTGGAAGAGATCGCAGCCCCATGGCAAAAGATGCGACCCCCGAGGCAAGGAAATCTCCAACTGATGCTGCCGCTGCCGCTGGTTTGTGCCCTTGTCCCATGCCTTTCCCTTCTTCTTTCTTTAAAACCCATCGCGACAATGTTTGTCTACACACGTCTCTAATATAATACATAGCTGCCGCTGCGGCGCGCATCAACGCGCAGCTCCAAGCTCGTAAGGGAATCCAGCATGTCGATGTACCTCCCATCAGGTCGGCTGATACCGACTCACCACCGCCGCGACCAACCTCGACTCCACAAAGCGCAAACAAGACAGCTCCGGCACTCGATGGCGAGATGTATGTTGCAGATGGTGACTATATCCAGGACATCGAAGTCAATGACCTCAGGAATCGCTACCTCCTCACCAAAGGGTCCACGCAGAAAATGGTAAATACTCCTGCTTTACAGCCCACTGATCTTCCCAGAACCGCTCCTTTGGATTTATTATGCACTTGAATCGAGAATATCATGCTTACAGCTTGATAGCTCGCTTCAATACCCCCTTCGTTGCTCCTGCTGACTCCCACTCGATTAGATCAAAGACGAAACCGGCGCTGGTACGCAATTTCTTCATGTTTTTTCCCCGTAGGATATCTTATTGACTTAGCAAGATATTACCACCCGGGGCAGCTACTATCCCAACAAGAGTATGGCAACCGCTGCGGTAAGGAAATCTTTCAGTCTTGGTTGGGCCTCACTCTAATCCCTTATAGAACCCTCCGTTGTACCTTCACATCACGAGCACGAGCAAGTCTGGTTTGGAGGCCGCTGTCGCCAAGATCAACGAACTTATTCAACAGGAACTCCCTCAGCTTGTCGATGAAAGGCGTTTTCGCCGTCGAGACCAGGAGCAGGTTGAACGTGATGAGTTTGGCCGAGTAAGGTTCTCGCAATTTACAGGTGGAACAAAGATGCTGACAGTCTTTCTATAGCGTAAATGGCCCGAAGAGAAGATTCCTATCAGCCTAGAGCCCGTACATGGGTTCAATTTGCGTGCTCAGGTCGTTGGACACGGAGGTGCCTACGTCAAGCATATCCAGCAAGAGACAACTTGTCGCGTGCAGATCAAGGGACGAGGCTCTGGATATCTCGAGGCAGCCACTAACCAAGAGAGCGACGAAGACATGTTCCTCCATGTGACGTGAGTTGGCGTGTTTGTTGATCTGGGACATCCACAACTAACATAAACGCAGCGGTCCTGACCCCAATATGGTTGCGAAAGCCAAGGAGCTTTGCGAGGACCTGATCGCCAATGTCAAGGAACAGTATGAAGAGTTCAAGAGTCGTCCACCGCGCTACGGCGGCGACCGCTACGGAGGCGACCGCTATGGGGGTGATCGTTACAATGGTGGCGGTGACCGAAACCATTCCCATGGTGGCTCACACGGAACTTCTCATGGTTCATATGGCGCCTCTGGCTATGGTGGATACGGGTCTAACCCGGCTGGTGCTTCAAACAGTCCAGCCGCTGCTGGCGTGAACAGCCCGACCAATGCTGCTGACTATGCCGCCCAGTACGCCCAGTACTACGGTGGCGCAGATCCCTACGCAGCCTATGGTGGTTATGCTAAGTAAGGAGAGCTTGCCGCTCGAGATGCCTACTCCGTGACGCTGACGATTTGCTACAGCTATGTTGCTATGTACCAGCAATACTATGGAGCTCAGGCTCAAGCACAGGCTCCCGGCCCTCCCGGTGCCACGCCTGGGCAGTCAGCTTCACCTCCTCCGCCCCCGAGTGAGGCCGCTCCTCCTCCGCCACCGCCGCCCAGCTCGGCACCTCCCCCGCCTCCCCCTTCTGGGTCCCCCCCGGGAACAGGCGGGAGCTATGGTTCGGTATGTGACAAAGATGCTGAGATATCCAGCTCGCATTCCACAAGATATTATCCCTCCTTAGGTATATGCTAACATTCGGTAGGTTCCTCCTCCGCCAGGTCTTTGAATTTTGATCGGGTCACCCATCATCAAAGGGGAGCCACAGAATCAGATTTTGACTGAAAAGCATGCCGCTGGATATGGAATTCCATGGCCATGTACGTGAACGCTCCAGTTTACATTGCAGAAAGAAAGAGTGTTGATTCAGGGCTCGTATGCGATTACGAGCTATTTGAGTAGGAATTCTCATCGAACCATCTTTGTATGGATGCGATTAAGAAATAGCAGAATTGCTTTCCAGTAGGTCGCAAAGTTGGTTTTTTTTTAGGAATGACATATTGCAGGTCGAAGTACATTACACTCGCAGTGAAGAAGGTGACGTTTCTTACTAAAGTATTATACTATCTGACAGATCAGGGACATGGCGTTTCTAATGACTCTAGCTTGTAAAGTTGTAGATACTAATATACAGCGTAAGAATTAGTCATTAGTCTTATATTAGCAGGCTTTTACTTCGAAGCGGATGGATTCTGAGAACTTGTACGTGGTTCAGCATGACGGGAGGGGCCAACCCCTTATCGATAAGAGAAACAACACTCGTCGCATCTCATGTAACCTTGACATCTAGACATGCCGCCTACATACGACTACTAGATACAATTAATTATCACGATTTTCTTACAGTGTAACTGCTGCACAGAGAAAAAGATGGCAAGATGAGTCATCAGCGATATCCCTCTCACGATCCAGTCAAGGAGCCCCATTCTATCTCACTCAAAGTGCTTCGGTAAGCTACCTAGCGATATGAGTCCAGGTCCAGATGGCTCCGAGCTTTACCTAGGTAGCTAACGTACGATCAACTTTAAGACTGTCGCGTCCGTCGCTCGTTACTCAATACCCGATCGATTCGCCCTCCTCAGTAGGCGCATCCATCAAATCAGCCCCGATCCCTGCTTCGCTCGCGTACCATTCCGAAGCTGCCTCGAACCCATCTCCCTTCCTTCTCAGTCCCGCCGTCAACCTCCCGGTATCGTTTGGTTCGGCATATGTCGGCGAGACTTTTAGCTGCACTCTTTGCGCGAACAATGAACTACCAATAGATGCTGCCAAAAATATTCGCGATGTGCGCATCGAAGCAGAGATGAAGACACCTGGTATGGGTGCTGTTCAGCGCCTTGAGCTTGGCCCCTTGAATGACCAATCTGAAGTTGATCTTGAGTCTGGAGGTACCTTGCAGAAAGTGGTCTCGTTCGATCTTAAGGAGGAGGGCAACCACGTTCTTGCGGTAACAGTGAGCTACTACGAGGCGACAGAAACAAGTGGACGAACAAGAACTTTCCGAAAGCTTTACCAGTTTATCTGCAAAGCTTCACTCATCGTGCGGACCAAGGTTGGTCCCCTGAACTCCAACAACACTCAAGAACACGGGCGATGGGTGCTCGAGGCGCAGCTGGAGAACTGTAGTGAAGACGTAGTGCAGCTGGAGAAGGTGGTACTAGACACGGAGCCTGGGTTGCGGTACCGAGACTGCAACTGGGAGGCGAGCGGGAGCGAAAAGCCGGTGCTGCATCCAGGTGAAGTGGAGCAGGTTTGCTTCGTGGTCGCGGGGGACGGCACCGAGTCGGGTGTGGAGGTGACACCGGACGGGAGAATTATCTTTGGATCATTGGGAATCGGATGGAGAGGTGAGATGGGAAACAGAGGATATCTGGCTACTGGGAAACTAGGCACAAGACGAGCCGCAGCACGATGAAGAGAACCCATCAAAACGACGAATGAATGATACCCGCAGCATTCAGTTGCTAAAGGCGAGGACGCTATGACTCCTCAACATGACACTTTATGATCATGATCTTCATTGTCATCCCTCAGCCCGCAAAGTTCGATAGTCTGGATGCCCGGGGTCCAGGGCCCAGGGTTGAACAGAGTTCTCACAAGCCGATCTCGCTTGTGAGCCGTGTCTTAAACCATATCTGAAGACTTTGACATCCCGGATGCCATACAAGCATTTGCCTAAGACCTAGGAGCCAATAGCAAAGGTCACTGTCCATCACCAAGACATTATGGTTCTTGTTCTTCCTAGTGTCTCTAATCTGTGTGATTGACGGTAGGGGGCTTCAACATGTCCAATTGTCGATTACGTCTTGCTACTACAGGAGCACGAAAATGAGTCGCTAAGTGGCCAGGATGTCGACAGTATGTGACTATTTCACGCTTGAATCGGCATCGACCTCACAGCAAGATCCGACCTGGTCGGGCAACTCAGTATAAGCTGCATGATCCCATGAGACAAAGTTGTGATACCTTTTGTATCCGTAAGAATTTGGGTATGGCAACTCGGTACAGGGTTTGAAAGGTATGTCACTCCAAAAGTAATTAGTGATAGTAATGGTACCGACTACTTGTTGGAAGAATCACCCTCAGTTTTCGAAAGAATGTAGCGTAAGTGTTCTATGAGGGGGTTGATGAACGGTGTTTTGTATCCAGAATTGAGCAACAGAGCTGATATCATATTACATCGTTGTAAGGTGGAAAATCGAACTGGAGAGACCAGATCGAATTTCCGAACGGCGATGGCCGTATTCCAAGTGATACCTAAATTGTTCGTTCTGCTTTAGGGAGTGTATGTATACACGAATCCGGAGTAGTTGACTCGTGAGTATAGTCTGTCACTCTGTCGGTTCAGACTTTATTTCTAATCAGACTTTGAGAGACGTACGCGGCCCCTCCCTCAAGCCATGTCGTTTCAAGCTCGAAAGATTCTCTTCAGAAGCGAGGAACTCTCACCGGGGACTGGGATAAGGAGGCCATGGCGATCGACCAGGATGAGCGAATATCAATCGAAACAACGCATCACACTAAGATCGATGATAGCCGCGTTGTAGCACTTGCTATCGTAGATGGGGACCCAGGGGACCAATGGCCCGGTACGTAACACACGGTCCAACGTGGAGAGCGACCTGAAACAGACGACGCCGTCGAGGTGTAAGTGTTGTGGGTGGATGGGATGACGGCATTAGTATGATTGTGACGGCCATGCGCTCAGGCCTAGCTTGGTTGTTCGGCACTTTACCTGACACTCATCGTGCAGACCGATGAAGGACGAGTGCCTTGAGAGATGAGCAAGGATGAAGCAACGCTTTTCTGCGAGCTTGACAATCCCGAGCCTAACTGGTGCTCCCTAGTGTCAGGTCGCGGTCCAAAGGAGAGCTGAAAGCCCATGCGAACAGTTGAAGGGAGCATACTGGGTAAGTCGTTTTGTATCCGTAAGGCAGTGAATACCAATCAAGAAAATATATCTCGGCTTGCGTGGAAAGATGATGATAGGTGCTTGAAAGGAATTGACATACAATATCATTCGGTTCGTCAGATATGGCTGGCTATACTATCTGACAAGGTGAGTTGTCATGTGTCAGAAGATCGAGTTTGTATTAGATTCGGCTCATGACTTGCTAAAGATAGCAATGGACGGCCATAATATGATCAACTTGAGCTGGCCCGATGACATTCATGCTCTGTCAGATTTATATGAGTCCTATGAGTAGAATAGCAAAGAATCCGTGTCCAAGTTTAGATTTGAGTGTGGCTAGACAGTCTCGGAACGTTAATTCAAGGACTTGCCGACTCGGGAGAAAAGTGCCAGGACTGGAGTAGGCCCCCGGTCTCTTCATATGTATTGATCCTGATCCTGTTTCTTTCTTGATTTCCTGTCTTGTCGATGGTGACTTGAATAAGGCTCCTGGATTGGCCGGTGGGGGGCCCATGTATACATACATAAGGTACTGTACAAACAAAGATAGAGTGAAGGGTGGATGCTGGATGTTTAAAGCGTGTCTGCTTCGCGTATTAGTGTGTTTACTACGGAGGCATTCCTCGCGTGTCGAATGTCGTCTATCACCGTCAATGCTCCGTACCTGCATCACAACGTGGCTCGTGCTTTCGTATTCTACGAGATCCATCAGGGGTATTTGTCGTTGGCCCTGACTTTGACCTATGTTAGGAGGCTTTCCTTGACCACTATTGACGCTGGTGCCAAATTTGGCAACGCCTCAAAAGTCAATTATTAGGCCCAGAATCGAATATTCGTTGGGAAGTACCACTGAACATGAGCCTCTCAACAGTCATGAAGCAGTTAGAGAAAAGGGGGATTGAAAGAGATATTCATGTTTAATTAAGTAGGAGTTGGAAATACCTAACTACTATTAATAAGGAAGAAATCGTCGTTCAACAAGGCTCGAGTCTCGTCCAATCACGACCTTGCCCCAAGGGCGGCGTCAGATTCTGTAAATGGCAAGAGTTGTCCATTTCCATCAACAAGATCTACAGGGTTCTGTCAATTTTGGGATTCGAGACGGGCAACCATCAGCGCCAGACCTGCCTCCCTTGTACAACTCGACCGTCGATCGGGAGGAACGATGTCAGGACAAGCCTTGGTATCCAAGGTAGGTGCGTCGTACGCTGGGCTGTACATATGTACCAACAAAAAGCAAGAGCAGGTTGAAAGATGTCCGTTTACTTCTTGGATTGTTTTTCAGCTCCCATTGCAGTAAAGATTGTGGAGAGGCGCTAACTATCACAGACGGCGTCTCTGAACTACACCCACACAATAATAGCGTCAAGGTCAGATTCAAATAGGTCGGATGGAGACACAACTGACGTAGGCGGCCAAGTAACGCCTGCCCTCATGACATCCCAGAGAGGTAGTCAGGGGAAGGGTCAGAAATTGAATGATATAAACCACAACCACAAACACAGAGAAACAAGCAAGGCAAAGTGACTAAAGAAAGATCAAAGCCGTCTTGAGTCCCCGCCAAACACGATCTTGATATGTGGAGCGTTTTCGACACACCCTCCACACATTGTACCCACGAAAACGGTGAGGACAGGAGTGGTCGGTAATAAACAAGGACAAGACACTGTGACCCCAATCGGGGCTTTATTCGTTTCTCACTTATTTGGGCTTCATGGTTTCACATCCTTCTCCCGTCGATTGCTCATTAATTTATCACGGTGTGCTCCAGAGAATAGGCACAAAAGCACTTTATCCAATACCCGTACAGCCGTTAC